ACAGGAATTCAATTGTTTAAAACAGAATTTTCCTAATGTTTTTCTAAAAAAATCAATTATTTAAATAGATTTTTATAAAATTCTTCGCAAGAATTCAATTATTTTTAATAAATAATAAACTTCTTCTGAGGAATTCAACTATTTTTTAAAATTTTAATAATAATCGTTGCGAGAATTCAATTATTTTTATAAATCTTAAAACTCATCTCTCGATTTCGATTATTTTTATAATACAATTTTAAATGAATTTCGCAAAAAATGCAATTATTCTTAAAAATTGGAATAAAATTCTTCGAAAAAGTTCAATTATTTAAAAAAATTTGATATAATTTGTTTCTTAGAGTGTAATAATTATTTTCAATTATTTTTCAATTACATTTCTTGAATGAATTTAATTTTTATCAAAAATTGCAATGCAATTCTTTGTAAAAATTCAATTATTTTCAAAAATGTTGATTAAGTTCTTTATAAGAATTGAAATTTAAGAAATATTCAATTATTTATTTTTGTATTTAAATAATTGAATTCTCTTAAAACTTTCTAATAAGGATTGATTTAGAATTGAAAAAAATAAAATGATTAAAGTTTGGAATAATATTTACATTTATAAATTCCAAGAAAAAATGCGATTGAATTTTTATACATTTTTATTAATTTAAATGTAGAGAATAATTAGTTTAAATTACTATTTCTAATTCAAAAGCAAAAAATTAGTTACTAATTTATATTAGTAAACATTTTTACTAATTGAAATTTAGATAATAAAAAGCAAAAAATTGCATCAACATCAAAAGAATTCTTTTTTTCATTATATTAAAAAATGCATTAAATTTTTATCATTTTGATGCAAATTTTTGTTTTTCTTTTTATTAAAAATAAAATTCATTTACAAATTTTTGACATTTTCATCCAAAGTTTTGTTTTTTTTATAATAATAAAAAAAAATTAAATGATAAATTTTTATCATTTTGATATATGCAGCCTTTTTTTTGCTCTTTTTGTAAAAATGAGAGTATTTCGCTTTGTTAAAATATTTTCATTTTGTGTTAATTAATTTTTCTTTTAATTCATTTAATTCTACATGAGATAAAAAATTCTAGTTTAAAAATAATAAATAATAGAGATATACTTAAATCTTTAGCAAGGAGAATTTTTTTCTGTAATATACAGTAGGTAATCTAAAAATCGATTGATTATAATTTATTCCTGTAGTATATACAATTTATTTTATTTTGTAAAAAAAGGAAAAGTTAAAAAAAATTTTATTTTTGAAGGCCAATAAATAAATTACCACTTGGCGCGCATGTGCGTTAAACGTTTAGTTTCATGAACTAGTAATACATAAAGTGTGATGCACAATTGCATTTGGATAATTAATAATTACAGAGTGGGAATAATTACAAAATTCTATACAAGTATTGGAAAAAAAATTAGAGCATGCACACGAGGCTTAAAAAAAATTAATAATTGAGAGAAATTGCTATTTACGCGTATGCAAAATTAGATGTAAATTAATAGAAAATATAGACTATGCATTTTGCTTATGTAGAAACATGCTCTGTCTTTGTCTTGTGGAATCAATACTGCACCAGATTCAGAATTTTTGGAATTGTAAAATATCGTGAATTTTCTTTTGTATTGTTTATTAGATTAAAAAAATATTTAACTTTTAAAAATTTGAAATTAAATTTGAAATTTGGAGTAAATTTAAATTTTTGGAAGTTTTGATTAAATTAAAATTCATAAACTTTTAATTAAATTACAAATTTGTAAAATTTTAATTAAATTTTAATTTATAAACTTTTAACTGAATTTCAATTTTATAAAATTTTGATTAAATTAAATTACAAAAACTAGAAGCTTTCAACTAAATTTTAGTTTATAAAATTTTAACTAAATTTGAATTTATAAAATTTTAACTAAATTTGAATTTATAAAATTTTAACTAAATTACAAATTTATAAACTTTTAACTAAATTTTAATTATAAAATTTAAACTAAATTTTAGATTATAAAATTTTAACTAAAATTTAGTTTATAAACTTTTAACTAAATTTGAATTTATAAAATTTTAACAAAATTCTAATTTATAAACATTTAACTGAATTTTAATTTATAAAATTTTGATTAAATTACAAAAAATATAAACTTTTAACTAAATTTTAGTTTATAAACTTTTAAAGAAATTTGAATTTATAAAATTTTAACTAAATTTTAGTTTATAAACTTTTAAAGAAATTTGAATTTATAAAATTTTAACTAAATTTTAATTTATAAACTTTTAATTAAATTACAAATTTGTAAAATTTTAATTAAATTTTAATTTATAAACTTTTAGCTGAATTTTAATTTATAAAATTTTGATTACATTACAAAAACTATAAGCTTTTAACTAAATTTTAGTTTATAAAATTTTAACTAAATTTGAATTTATAAAATTTTAACTAAATTTGAATTTATAAAATTTTAGCTAAATTTGAATTTATAAAATTTTAACTAAATAATATTACAAATTTATAAACTTTTAACTAAATTTTAATTTACAAAATTTTATCTGAATTTTAATTTATAAACTTTTAACTGAATTTTAATTTATAAAATTTTGATTAAGTTACAAAAAAATATAAACTTTTAACTAAATTTTAGTTTATAAGCTTTTAACTAAATTTGAATTTAGAAGATTTTAACAAAATTCTAATTTATAAACTTTTAACTAAATTTTAATTCACAATATTGTATCTAAATTTTAATTTATAAACTTTTAACTGAATTTTAAATTCATATAATTTTACTTAAATTACTAATTTATAAACTTTTAACAAAATTTTAATTTGTAAAATTTGAACTAAATTTTAACTAAATTTTAGATTATAAAATTTTAACTAAATTTTTGTTTATAAAATTTTAACTAAATTTTAGTTTATAAAATTTTAACTAAATTTTAGTTTATAAAATTTTAACTAAAGTTTAGTTTTCTAAAATTTTAACTAAATTACAAATTTATCAAATTTTCATTAAATTTCCAAACGATTAAATGTGTAGTAATTTAAATTAAATTGTAAATTTTGATATGGAATTAAATTTAAAAGTTAAAAATAGAAAATGTTTCTAGAACAAACATTCAGTTTTACTCATGCATTAGAATTTTCTTCTAACAATATTGTATTGTAAAGAAAACATTTTTATTTCCAATTCATTATTTTTTTATTTAGTTCGAAAATATTTCTATGCTTCAAAAATTTCTCGATTTGAACATTCGAACCTAAATTTCCATTTTTCTTTTGAATTTCCCACCTTTTTGAAAATATTTCCATCGATTTAAGTTTTCCTTACCATTTCCTTACTTTGAACATTCAAAAGTTGTGTTTGGATACTAGAAATTTTTTTTTTGAAATATTTTAATGAATTTTAATGAATATATATTTTAACGAATTTCGTAGGAGGGAAAAAAATTGATAAAATTAATTGTAAAACAGGGAATAAATTGCGGATAACAGATTCTATTGAAGGTTGTCGTACGGTGAAAGGTATAAAATATGCGAAACACAATACGTTCAACCGTAATGCAATATAAAGACAATTTAAGTGACAAAAAAAAACACTCTTTAATGCATGACATCTGCATAACGGTTACGTGATTTTCTTTCTTTTTTATTATCCTTTTTATTTCCGTATAACATTTCTCTTGAGTGAGGCAAAGACCTTGAAATTCACTCACAATGTTCTTATATCATTGAAATTTTTATCAACAAAATTTAAAACATATTGTAAAACATTTTGTATAACAAAATTGTGCAATTCTGATTAATAAACATTTTCATGCTCTTTACTTTTTGAATATTTCATTTTTTGAGCAATGAAAAAAGATTCGATTTTTTTCGGTACAATTTCCAATTTCTTTTTAATTTTTCTTATAATTTAAAGTAGTAGATGAAAAAAATTTTTTTTTATCGATTTAGAATTGCTTTGAATGCGCATCGAGGAATAATATTTCTTTTGCTAAAAAAATTCTCGCGTATTGAGAAAATAATGAGAAAAAACAAACGCGATTTCCTTTCGACAAAGTGTGAAGGACGAACAAATGATTCACGTCTTTTTGCCGACCGTGACTTTCGATTGAATGATAAAAAATACCTTCGGGAGATAGTTACGTCACTCTGGACCTAAATACATAAGTTTCAATTTTCCCGTGACGAGGTATTTTTCCCAAAGAGCAAAATTTCCGAATTTTAATTTTCATTTTTCCTCTCTATTAAAAAAGAATTTTTCATCCTTTGAAAATTTTTTCAAATGGAATTTTTTCAAATCAAATTTTTTGGAAATTAAATATTTTCCACTAGAAAGATAATCAAGTAATGAAGAATATTAGATATAATAAAAAATGATAAATTAAAAAAAAATCCCAAATTAACAATTGAATTAGATTAGAATTAACAATTAGAAAAATTAAAATGGCGAAAATTAACGACATAGAATTTGAATAATAAAAAAAATAAATTGAACTAAAAAACTCGTTTATATATTCAAGGTTCCAGAAAGAATTCATTGACCGATCTGTACTACTTATTTGCATTTAGAAAATACAATCGAACAATAAAGTGACGCAATACGCTTTATGGTAACATCCTGGATATGATGAACAAAAAATGGACCGAGATTGTTATTATTAGTAAATTTTTGTTTCCTTTCTTTTTTTCACCGTGAGGAGAAAAATAGAGACACGTTTTGAATTGTAAACGAAGTGAATATGATTTATAATGGACGATTATACTCTTGAGTTAATTAACTTAACTCACGTAATATGGTTCATTAATTTTTAAGAAGATGCGTATTTTAAGAGCAAGAGTCACATGAGCGCGCGAGAATTAATTAATTGACTTGTATTATTTTGATAAGTGGAAAATTAATCAACTTGTGTGTTCACGAGGGTAAAACGTATAAAAGTGCAAAAAAAAAAGAAAAAAGGAAAACAAAATAAAACAATAATATTGTGTACTTACTCACTGACTGAAGACCCATCATTAAAATAAATCCTACAACAATAGAAGCAAATTGCCTCAGTCCAGAACGATTTTCTTGTAAAACTTCAAAGAAAACTACGTACAGCAATGTACCAGATGCAATTCCCTGTGATAAGAAACATATTTTTTTTTTTAATAATTGTTGTCTAATAATAGTTTTTTCAAATCTATTATTATTGTAAATATTTTATTGGAGAATAATTAAGAAATTATGGACTTGTCATGAAATTTATTCAAATAAAAAAATAAAAATAAACAAATAAAAGTAAAATTTATTTATTATTTATTATTATTAATTATTAATTATTATTTTTTATTCTACTGAAGAAATACAGAAAATAGAAGTAGAAGTAGAGAAAATACAGTAAATTGGTGTAAAAAATGCAATAAGGTATTGTAAAAAATAAAATAATTATTATAGTTGATGATGGATTATTCTTGCCGATGGATTAAATATAAAATTGTAAAATTAGAGCAAAGAAAGTTAAAAATGGAATATGTTTATATATATACTTGGAATATTTTTTCATATCTATGCACGTGATTGGAGAAAGTTGTTCGACCCAAATAGTATGTTTTATCCATTTTTTTCGTATATATAAAATAGAGTAAGGAGTTAATTTGTTTTCAAAACTTTTTTTTGAATTCTTAAACTTTAAATTTCTGTTTTAATTTCTGGTATAAAATTTAATGAAATTTTTGGAATTACCTGTAAAAATACGGGTAGGGGACCATTTGCTGCAGCACTCTCGCCCCCGATTAGTGCCATTCCAATCCCAATTCCAAGGGGAGAGACAACGGCAAACATGCATATGTAGACGATTGATAGATGCACCTTCGTCTTAGCTGCAATTAGCTGCACACCAATGCAAAATGCAATGACGAATTTGTGTGCAGATACTGCAGCAAACATATACCTGAAATTTATGGGAAAAAAAATTTAAGATTGAACTTAAATTTTATTGTATTTGCTATAAATATTTAATTGTTTTAATAAATACTTTCGCTAATCTAGAGAAATTTTTCGCTGTCCCAGGTAAAGTTTTTTATTCGTGAAATTAGTCAAAATCAAAAGACAATTATTGTTTGGAAAGTATTCGAGAAATTTTTATTTGTTATTTAATCGAATAATTATTATACGGAAATTATTTAAAAAATTGAAGAAAATTATTCAAAAAATTGAAAATTATTCGAAAAATTCTTATTTGAAATTTATTTTTATAATATTATATGAAAATAATTCAAAAAATTATTATCGTTTGGAAATTATTCAGAAAACAATTGTTGCTTGAAAATAATTCGAAAATTATTTTAAAAATTATTAAAAATTTTTATTTTTATTTATTATTAAATTATTATTAATTATTATTTGAATTGTATTGGAAAGAATTTAATTTGAAATTTATTCGAATAATTAATATCTTTTATTGAAGATATTTTCACCGTGGGGACTTTGAAAATAAACAAATAGATATAGAAATTATTCAACAAATTATTATTTGTAAATTATGTAAAACATTATTCTTTGGAAATTGTAGGAAAAATTTTGATTTTGAAAATTCTTCGGAAAATTTTGATTTGAAAATTATTCTGAAAATTCTATTTTGAAAATTATTTGGAAAATTCTTTCTTGAGAATTATTCAAAAAAATTTTATATAAAAATTATTCGGAAAATTCTTTCTTGAGAATTATTTAAATAAATTTTATATGAAAATTATTCGCAAAATTCTTTCTTGAGAATTATTCAAAAAATTCTTATATGAAAATTATTCGGAAAATTCTTTCTTGAGAATCATTGAATAAAATTCATATTTGAGAATTATTCAAAAAAAATTCTTATTTGAGAATTGTTCGAAAAATTCGTATTTGAAATTGATTGAAATAAGTTAATATTTGAAAATTATTCGGAAAATTATTAGTTTGATTAATTAACGAATGTTTTGGTATATTTAATAATGAAAGTATTAATTGAAGAGATTTTTTTTTCTTCTTCTTCTTAAGTACTATATGGTCTATTAAATTTAAATAATTATACGAACCAAACGTCAGGGGCAGAACTTTCAAGGCCTATAGCAAGTCCCTCAAATAATTCATGCACTGAAAGTCCCAATACTATTAAAAGTCCTCGAAGAGAACTGATCTCAAAGCTTTCGCCATCATCTGTTATTGGTAGATGACTGTGACCGGTGCAACTGTGAAAAAAAGTTAATTTTTTTTCAGAAAAGAAAATTATTGAAATTATTGAATTTGTATAAAAATTTTGTCGAATTTTCCACTTCATTAGACGTCAAATTTCATAAGAAACACTATTGTTCTGATTAGGAGTATACAAACATTTTTTTATCGAATTGAAAAATAAATTAAAACCAAATAATTTCTATTAGTTAGTAAATAAAATTAAATAAAAATCTAAATTGTTTTTAACATTTCTAATATTTATTTTTTGCGATTCCGGAATAATTGCAATAATTGCGGAATAAATACGATCATTCCGGATAATGTAAATTTTTCCACGATTTTTACACTTCAATTTTTTTAATTGAATTAAACTTTTTTTAAAAATTTATTTTCTTTATAGAGGAAATATTGTTTTTATTCATTGTTGATAATGTTTTACGAGACCTTTAATCGGTAATGTTGTTTAGAAAAGTATTTTCATGTATTATGTACATAAAAATAAAATAAATGTATTATTAAGAATTATTTCTAATCTTTTAAAAATAGAAACAAAAGGAAAAAAAATTTTTTGAAATTATGATAAAAAAAAGTTCTTTTTTATGAAACGTGTGATGGAGAGAAATTGTTTTCTCTATTTTCAACAGTCGATAAAGTTTATTAAATTCGGAGTGAGATAATAATAATTTCGCTTTATCTGTAATCGACTATCGACTTTTAAATATTTCCATTTTCGATAAAGTGAATTTATAAATAAAATTAATATTTCGTTATAAGACATGATTTTAATCGTTTGTACGTGAAAGTATGATTAATAATAACAATTTTACTTATGAAAAAAAGTTTTGATTGAAAAACAGAGAAAATTTAATTTTTATACTAATTATACATAAATAATTATGAATAATTTAATTAATATTAATTAACATTAATTAACATTAATATAATTAGTTAAAGAAAATTAAAGAAAATTTAATGAAAAAGAATTAATTTTAGATAGAAAATGTTCAGTTTATAAAATCTTCGATAACCAAACGAATGGAAAAAATATATTTGAAAAAGAAAAAAATATCATTTAAAATAAATAAAAATTAAAAAAATATTTTTTTTTGTTATAAAATATTTAGTTATTTAGATAATATAATAAAATATTTAGCAATAAAATAAATAAGGAATTACTATAATAAATAAAATTAAGAATAAAAAAAATTAATTAGCATTAGAGACAAAAAAAATTTGGTAATAATTAATTAATAACGTTTCATAAAAAATCTTTAGAAAATTTTTGTTGATTTTTTTCTGTGTGTAAAAATAATGTTTCCATGAACACTATTAATTTGCACCAATTTTTTTTTGGACAATATCAATATCTCGTTAAATAATTATTTCCTATAAAGAAAAATAATTTTTTTTTGTTTAAAAAAACGCTTTAAAAACCTGTCCAATTTCACAATTTGGATTTCGCGTTTCTTGCAAATTTGATCAAAAGTGCCGTACAGAACAATTTGTGTTTCTTCTTCAACTGTTGGGGCCTTCGTCCTAAAATTTTTTAACATTCAATCACTAATTGTAAATTAATTAATCTATTTTTTAATAACATTAATTAATTATTAGATAATGAAGTAGAATTTTCAACAAATGAAAAAAAATTAAAAAATTAATTTGCAGGAATTAATAATAAATAAATAATAATAAATAAAATAATAAAATAATAAATAAATATAATAAATAATAAATAAATAATCTTACGCATGATTGCGCCCATTTGGCAATGATGAGTGATCAATTTTGCCATTCTCAACCAATTCATTTGTACTGTGATTGACATCAACATTAAATTGAGAAGATGCGTGTCTTTTTTTGTGTCTCAAACGTGTGTGGACCAATTCTTCAACCAAATACATAATGAAAAATCTGCAAAGAGAAATAAAAAAATATTTATTTAAATTTTTTTATAATACTTTTTAATTTTAAAAAATTCGTGTTTATATAGACATTACAATAATAGTTAATTACTTGTGAAAATATAATTATAAAATAAGTTTCTTTCTTATCTGCTTTTTTTCTTTTTTTTTGAATCACTATAGATAATTAAAATCTATTTGTTTTATGTTGTACAACTCTTTTCTCTTAAATCGCATCATATAATCTTAAATCTTTTAAATACTATAAAATAATTGTTACATTTCACAAGATTCCGACTGTTTAATTATTATTTAATAACGGATTTTTATTCGTTATTAAACAGATTAAAGCAACGGATTTTAAAAGTATTATAAAAAAATTGATGTCATTGTTTTAACGTTTAAAGATTTAGAAAAGACAATATATATATAGTGTCTGGGAGAAATAAAAATAAGAAAAGTACAGCACGTGCGAAAAAATATATTCTTTTTTTAGAGCGATTTTTCTTTCTTGTTTGTAGAATATAAAAAACTTGTAAGTAATTGAACATTGGTATTGAAAATGAAAGAAATTTTTATTTTCAAAATAAAAAAAAAATTTTTATTCATTTTTTGAAAAATAAATTTTTAAAATAAAAATTTGGTTAGAAAGTCCTTTGAAACAATGTTTTACCCGAGACATGTGAGAGTTTCCGGAATGGGAAATCTCTGAGGATTTATTTTTCCTTGATGTATTAGAGATTCAACTCCTTCAGTCACTTCAGGCAAAAGATGAAGAAAAGTCGTACATAAAAGGACTCCACCTCCGAATCCCAAAAGCATACTCATCACCTTTGATGATCTGTAAAGAAAAAAGATTTTTAATTTTGAAAATTTTTATTTTTCTAATGCAAGAAGGTCTGAACTGTCTCTAATTTTTACTATTTCTGCAGTAAATTTTACTATAATTTGATAGGAAAATCTAAATAGTTAAAAATTTTTACTATTTCCAGAGTAAATTTTACTGTACTTCAAAAATAAAACCTAAATTGTCTGGAATTTTTGATATTTTTACAGTAAATTTTACTGTACTTCAAAAATAAAACCTAAATTGTCTGGGATTTTTGATATTTTTACAGTAAATTTTACTGTACTTCAAAAATAAAACCTAAATTGTCTGGAATTTTTGATATTTTTACAGTAAATTTTACTGTACTTCAAAAATAAAACCTAAATTGTCTGGAATTTTTGATATTTTTACAGTAAATTTTACTATTACTGAAGTAAATTTTACTATATTTCAAAAATAAAACCTAAATTGTCTGGAATTTTTACTATCATTAAAGTAACTTTTATTATTGCCGAAGTAAAATTTCCCAAAAGAATTGAATAATTTAAAAAAAATGTTAATAAAATTCTTCCCCTTGTATTTATAAATATTTGCGATATTTACCAAAAAAATTGCAAGAGAATTTGTTTTTTTTTTCTCTAATTGTTTTATTAACTTAATGAACAATAATAAGTGTTCTAAATTATATCAAAGTATTTTTTTTATAACTACTTAAGTTTAAATTTTTACACTACTGCAAATAAGATAACGTTTAATAATTCATCACCTAGAGATGGTTTCATTTGATAATAAAAGCATCTATTATTACAATATTTTCATTTTCATAAATTTTAATCCCGTGTATGCAATTCTTCAAGTGGGGACTAAAATAAATATAATACTAAAAGTTTACTTTACAGTATAAAAAAATTTTTTTTGTTTGTAAAATGAAATATGCAAGAGGGAAAAATAGAAAAGTGAGTTTCATTATTTGTATAGTAAAATATAAATGGGCCTGAAATTTTAGTGCATTTTTTGATAAGATTTCCAGGAGTAAATAAAATAAATAAATTCCCGGAGTAAATATTTAGTAAAATTTACATCAGACATTGTAAAATTTTAAAAATAGTTCCATTTTTTTATGTTTTTTGTCAAGAATTCAATTATTTTTCCAAATAACGAAAATTTTCATTAAAATTCAATTATTATTATTATCTAGTATTTTAATAAAATTTCACCAAAAAATTCAATTATTTTCAAATATTTTCCAAAAGAATTCAATTATTAGAAAAAAATTTTAATAAAATTCTACGCAATCATTTAATTATTTTCATGAATAATAAAAATTTTACAGTGTAATTCAATTATTTACAAATTTTTTATAAATTATTTTCATAAATAACAATATGCATCACAAGAATTCAATTATTTTTATAATTAGCGAAATTTTTTGCTAGAATTTAATTATTTTCAAAAATTTTAATAAAATTCTCCCCAATAAATTCAATTATTTTCAAAAATATTAAAAATTTTTACAGGAATTCAATTGTTTTTATAAATAATAAAATTCTTTTTAGCAAATTCAATTATTTTCAGAATGAATAAAATTCATTGCAAATAAATATAAAAATTCTCCCCAGAAATTCAATTATTTTAAATAAATTTTAATAAAATTCTTTACAAAAACTCCAATTATTTTCATAAATAATATTTTTACAGACTTTTAATTATTTAAAATACCTAAAATTTTTACTCAATTTTTTGAAAATTTATAATAAATTGACTCAAATGAAATTATGTTTTAAAATTTTTATAAAATACTTTGTAAACATTCAATTTTAAGAAATAATCAATTATTCAATAAATTATTGTTGTATTTAAATAATTTAATTCTCCTAGAACATTTTAACAAGAATTGAATTAAAAATGAATTTAAGAAAAAATTTTAGATATAAAAATTAAATATTAGAAGCGTTATAATATGAATTTTTAGAAATAATTAAATTTCAAAGGATTTTTAAATGGTTTGTCTTTGAAACGTTTGATTTTTGTAAAACTGTAATAATATATTTAAAATTTAAATATTTAGCATAAAAAATTTATTATTTTATTATTTTTCAAAAACGAGTTTTTTAGTCGTTAAATTTAATTTTTTGATAAGACACTTTTTACTACTTTTTTTCAGTCTTAAAGCTAATTTTTGACACTTTTTTTTAAATGTAATTATCGAGTGCGAAGCCTGAAATAATAAATTTTCGATATACCTTACGGAATTTCCATTTTTCGGTGATGTCCACTTTAGCCATTTATTCATTTGCAAAGGTAAAAGTCCCATGCATATGCTGACGGAGCATAAAACAAGCATAGTGACACCTTTGACTATTAATACCGCGGTTTCTTTATCTTCATCTTCATGTCCTAAAGACGCTAATCTAGTTATATTATCAGACATTAAATGCATTGTTGAGTCTTCGTGATGATGATGATGATGATCGTGATAGTGATTATGGTGATCCATTTTTTTTTCACTCCTCTACAGGTAGCTAATTAATATTCTTTCTGCAAAAGAAAAGAGAAAACAAAATAGTTAAATTATTCAAATTTATGAAAGCAAAGAATAAAGAAATAACACTTATTACTAATATGTACATTTTTCGATAAATGATTTTCTATTGAAATGCAAAGTAATTTATTTAAAGTCGCGCAACCAGAGAATAGATGTAAAAATTCATGACTCAGTTTCTGTCGTAAATGTAATTTTTTAAATTAAAATTTTTTCGTTTATTTTCTCTAAAAATAAGACGTGAGGACATTTTTGAATTTTTCCACTACGAAATACATTTATGAGAATTTTTCCACTAAGTAGAAATATTTTTATTATTGAAACTAAAAAAAAATTTTTGCATTGAAAAATACGAAAAACATTTATGAATTTTTTTCACTAAGTACAAATATTTTTGTTATTGAAACTAAAAAAAAATTTTTGTATTGAAAAATATTTTCAATATTCATTGAGATTTTTATTATTTATTTTTTTCGATAAAAATAAAAATATTAAACGTTTAATATTTCCTGATCAGTAATATTTCTTTGTTGTCTACTTATTGTTTTCTTTCAAATGTTTTTTTTTTATTTCTCAATTTTTCCCTTATTGCGATTTCTTTTCTTTTTCTAGAAGACATAAAATTGACATGGAATGATTAAAAGCAGAAAAAACAAAAAAAAAATAATTCGCGAATACTTTTACCGAATCGTTAAAAATATTTCCTAGCGGAAACTATAAAAGTATTTTGCTCCGTTTCTTCTATTTTTAATTAAAACCAACAATCCACTTTTCATTTTCTTTTAAACGTCACTTTTTATCGGAAAACTATTACCACCTTTTTCTATTCTATAGACACTTTATTTCTGTTGACAAAAAGAGTTGGAAAAATTTATCGAAACCAAACTTCATAATAAATAATTTATTGTCAGCTAATTATTATTATTCTTTTATATTTGAAAATTAATTTTCTTTTATTTGAATTAATATTCTTTTAATTGAATTATTATTCTTTTATTACAATAATATTATTACTTTGTAATATAGAAAAAAATTTTTATTCTTATTACTACACTGAAAAAAAATTTGACTCAAATAAACAATTATTTTTCTATTTATCAAATGAATATTTATTTGCATAAAATAATTTTTATTTAACTCAATTAAATTTGCTGTAAATACTGTTTTTTGGATTGAATTAAAATTATTGTTAAATACACTTTATTTGATTTAATTAACAATTATATTTGTTTCAAGTAAATATTTATTTGATAATAGACCAGTAACTAGTGATTTCAATCAAATATTTTTTTTCAGCGCAATAATATTATAATTATTTAAATAAATAAATAAATATTATAATAATAATATTTATGATTATTTTTATCGTTAATATTAGTTTTTAATATTCTTAGTAACTTATTTTATTTATTTAAACACCAGATTCCGCGGTTTTATTATTATTTTATTATTCAAATTTATTTTATATAATTATTATTTAAATTATTTTAAATATTTAATATTAATTATATGACAATTATTATTAACAATTAATATTAACTTCATTGTCACTATATAACATAAAAAATGATTTCTTTTTTATTACATTATTATTTTATACAGTTATTATTATTTAAATAATTTAAAATATATTTATATTATTAATTATATAATAATTATAAATTTTTGAAAAATATAAATTTTTCTAGAAATAAAAAAACTAAAAATTTACCAATAAAATTTTTTTTTTTAAATTTTCCTATTTTAATAATTTTTATATGAACAATATTGGGAGAAAAATGAATTTATAGCGCACGTGGCGTGTCGTTAGTGTCGTGGCGCCAAATAACTGATTTCGAAAGGTCAGATTTTGACAGTTCTTGTAAATCGACTTAATGATGTTTAATTCCAATTTAATGTCTTATTCGGCATGCCAGTGGAATGAAACTTTAAACAAACACACGAAGAGAAAAAAAAGAATAAAACTTTAATATTATATTTATTGTACAAGTCAAAATATTCAATTTATTTCACTAAAAGACTTTGAATGATATAATTCAATAATTTTCAATTCTCGCACTTAAAGAACCCTTCTTGGGAATTAATTAAGATTCTCTCTCTTTATTATTTTCACTTTGATTTTTAATCATTTTGTTATTTATTTAATTCGTCAAGAATTTAGTATTGATAGTAGTAATAGTAATTTTTTAAAAAATAATTTTCGATTAACTATTGAAATTAAAAACTTGTCTTGTTTATATTTTTATAAACTTTATCAAATTTACCAATTTTCGATTAAATTTTTTTTATATAATTTATAAAAATTAAGAATTAATTTCAATTAATGAAGATTATTTGATGAATAATTAAAATTAAAAAATTATTTATTAAAACCCCTTTTTAATAATTCGTGTATTAAAAAATAATTTTTTACTTTCTTTTTTCATTCACGAAAAAAAAATTTCTATAAAGAATTTTAGTGGAATTTTTTAAATATTTTTTTCATATAGTATTTTTTATGAATTATTTGTTTCTTTACAGTTGATTAGACTTTATTGTAATTCTTGACATCTGAATGCCATTTTATACAGTTCAGCTGTTTAAACTTCTGATTAATATGATTAACATTCCAGTGTTAATCGAAATTTGTCAAATATTCTTAACACGAAAATATTCTCAAGTGAATATATATATATATTTTTTTTTTTTTTGGAAAATTGTTTCACTTTTTTTTTATCTATTGGAGCTATTAAATTTTTTTTTCTCCTCGAAAATTATTAATGTAGGTCGATCAAGATTGTATTTAATCAAAATGACCGCAAGATATTTTGGAACACTTGTCATTTAAAAATTGGGTATTAAATAAACGATAATTTGTTTTCAGTATATGTAAAATTCTCCAACATAAGAGAATAGTTACTCCACTAATTACCATCTATATTACATAATTATTCACTTCTATTATATTCACTTTCTTCAAATATTTCACACATTCCTTTAAATTCTGAGAATAATGGAATTTTTTTTTTTTGAAATAATTTGTTTATTTATTTATTTCTGACACTTGGACACGAACTTACTTAAAAAAAATTGTTTTCTTGAATAAATGAAGCGAAGAATTTTTTTTTTTTTTTTTTAAACACTTTTTTAATGCAGCTTCGGCTTGAGTTGTAACTTGACTAAGTTGAAAAGTCGAAAGAGACACGCGAGAAATCTCCCCGCGGACAAAATAAAATTTAAGTGGGGGAGAGAGGAAACTACTTTGAAGGTAGAAAATCTGCGTAAAGTGAAGTATTATTTATGAATGTGTACATTTGTGGGAGACTACTAAAGAATTTACCCTTTGTCATTATAAATATATAATATCGAAATATCATATCAAGATTTTCTCTATCGTGGCGTGAAATATGATAAGGACAGACAATGTATTTTTCGTATTCAATATTGATAATCATGACAAAGACATGTGCTAAATCAAGGACTGTCAATGAATGAGTGCTTTATTATTTTAATTCATCCCCCAATTGCATTATTGTTGCAAAAAAAAATTACTAATTGTATTTTTGCAATTTTTATATTTTTACGCATTTTTTCTTTAAATTGTTAACATATTGTTAACAAATTTTAAAATTGAATTAGTAAACAAATTTACTAATTTAAATCAGTGACTGACTTTTTGCTTTTGAATTAGTAAAATATACTAATATTTAGTAAATTATACTTTATTTTTTATGAAGCAAAATTTCTTATTTTTAATTAGTAAATTAGTAAATTTTACTAATAAATAGTAATTTCTACTATTTTATTACTAAAATTGACTAATTATTAAATTTTACTTAAAAATATTAGTAATTTCTACTAATCTATCAGTAAAATTTACGAATAAAATATTAATAAAATTAGTAAATTTTACTTTATTATGAATAAAGCAAAATTTTCTATTTTTTATTAGTAAATTAGTAAATTTTACTTGTAAATATTAATTTCTAGTGATTTATTAGTGAATTTTACTTTAATATGAATGAAGCAAAATTTCTTATTTTTTATTAGTAAATTTTACTTCTAAATAGTAATTTCTACCAATTTATTAGTAAAATTTACTAATTAAATTACTATTTAGTAAATTTTACTTTATTATGAATAAAGCAAAATTTCTTATTTTTATTAGAAAGTTAGTCAATTTTACTTTATTATGAATGAAGCAAAATTTCTTATTTTTATTAGAAAATTTTACTTATAAATTTTATAAGTAAAATTTTATAAGTAAAATTTTCTAATTTATTAGTAAAATTTACTAATAAAATATTATTAAAATTAGTAAATTTTACTTTATTATGAATGAAGCAAAATTTCTTATTTTTAATTAGTAAATTAATAAATTTTACTAATAAATAATAATTTCTACTGATTTATTTGTAAAAGTTACTAATTCAAAAGCAAAAAGGCAGTCACTAAATCAAATTAGTAAACATTTATTTTGTTATTTTTATGTTATTATTTGTATTATTATTACTGCTTTCGTTAATAATTTCTCCTAACTAGAATTATTCCCAAATAGTTTTTTTTGAAAATGTTTTTTCGTTTCTAAAATTTTGTTTCAAATTTTAAGAGAATTTACAGTAAAATTTTCAATTTTCTTCCTTTTTTCTCTCCATTAATTAAACGTGAATTTTTCTCATTTCATTTTTCTTGGAAATTTTTCGTTTGTCGTATAAACTAAAATATTATGGGCGCAAGCAGCTTTTTCTTATTTTTGAATTGTCCAATAAATTTAATTATTACTCCACATAAAAATTCTTTGTTTATGCAAATTTTTTATTATTCTAAATAGATAACGTAAATTCAAATATATGATATCATAGATGATTTTTTTCTACTTTGTTTGCAATTGACATACAATTTTTATTTACTTTTGTTTCTTTAGAAAGAAAAAGTGCGTATTAAAAAAAATTTAAATATTAAAAATTTTAAATAATAGTTCTTATACTGTTTTTTACGTATTAAATTTTTTCTTTAAAATTTGAATTACAGAAAAATACTATTTCAAATTTTGTAGAAATATTGTAAAAGAAATTTTTCTCTAGGCAATTTTTTCAAAATAAATTTTTAATTAGATGGAAATTTTTCTTGAAGAAAAATTTTTGAAAAATGGAAATATAGTCTAAAAAAATAGTATAAGAAAAATAAGACTATAAATCAGTAATATGATAGTAATATAATAATAAATACAAATGATGATAAATAAATTTTGTAAATAATAATATAATAATGAGTAAATAATAAAATACTAATAATAAAATAATAGTAATAATAAAAGCAATTTTTTTTATTAATTACTAAAAAATAATAAAAACTTGTAAAAAAGTATACATGGAATAAATAGTAGTAATACTAATAAGTAATAAATAATAAATATAATTATAGGTTTAGATAGAAATAATTAAATAATTAAACTACTATAAAAATAACAATAAAATAGAAAAGTTATAATTTCTTATCGATAGAATACAAAAACTACATTTTTGATTTTCTTGAAATGTATTTATCTAAATTGTAGCTTTTCCCTTGAAGAATGAAAAATTGAATTAAATCAAACAATATGAATGTTGCTGTTGCAACAGTCCTTGAAATTGAAATGAATAGATATTTAATGTTTACAGTGAAAATAAAGAATCTTCTTGGTTTACTGTTTATTCATTAAAAACTTTTTTCAGGAAGTTATTATTTGATTGTTTAAGATAAAATGCATTATATATAACAAATTCATTATTTTTATAAATACCTGTGAAAATATTTATTATTTCTTTTAAATTTCATTCATAAAATTCAACTCTAGTTATAATTTGATTTTCGCTATAAATTAGGAATTCGTAATTATCAAAATTATACCAACAATGAAAAAGTTTACAATAATATTTTTCTTTTGAAAAAGTCCCAAACAAATTTTGTTGTTGAATATTTTAATATAAAAAGAAAAATTAATAGAAATACGGTTTTTATTTATTATTTTCTGTACTTCTTTATTTATTTATTTAAATTATAGAATAGTTGTTTTATTTTTTACTCAAATTTTTTTTTTTATTTATTTATTATTTTTTTTTGTTTATTTTAAGATATTTGAACCATTATGATCCATAATATAGTTTTTAATTGTAAAATTTAATATTAATTCAATAAGATTAGTTTCATTAAGTTTTAAAATTGTTTAAAAATTTAATTTCTAAATTAAGAAAAATTAGAAGAAAATTCATAAAATTAAAGAAAATTTCTTAAAGAAAATTACTTTTTAATTAAAATTAGTTTTTCTATACAATAATTGTCAATTGCCATACTCACAATTATTGAGAGTATGACAATTGACCAAATTTTTCCCCTGACAATTAAACAATTTTTTATTCTTTTAAAATTCTAAAAATTCGCTAACTACGAAACTGAAGGAATTATTTGTATATTTAACAATTATTAAATTTACAGTTTAAATAATTCTTAATATTTTAATAATTTATATATTTAAAAAAAAATTTGATTTTATTGCAAAAATTAAAATTTTTTAAATATATAAAAAATTGTATAGTCCAATTTTTTTATTACAAAAAATGACACGTTGCTTTTACAATACTTTCGAGCATTAATGAATCCCAAATGGAAAGGAATGAAAAAAAATAATGAATTTTGACAAACAATTATATTATGTTTTAATTAGTTTTGTGTTTTGGATATCGCCAACGTGTGACGTCACGCAGTGAAGCGACGCGCATGCAACTTGTATAGAAAAATTAAATACCTTTTTTTGGAAATTTAATTTAAAAACTAAAAATGATTTAATAAATATGGAAAATAAAGGAAAATTGAAAGAAATTATATGCGAAAGAGAAAAATTGGAAAAATGTTTTTTTAGTTTTTATGACATACCGAAATTTAAAAAATGTTGAGGGGAGTTGGTCTGCTTGGGCTGAAGTTGGCTTCGATGTCGAAATTCAAAAGGCTCTTGGCAAGAGAACCTTTTCAGTCGAGGGAGAAAGTATGGCAAAAATGGGAAATTGACCTGCGCAGATGGTGCGCGTTAATCCCCTCTCTCCTGGAATCCGAAGGTTCTTTTTAATAACTTTAGAAGAAGAGCAGCCCGTGTGATTCACTGCTAACTTCAATTCTTTGATTTTATATACGAATCGAGTATTTTTAACCGAATCGTTCGTAGTATTGATCATTTTTTTAAATTTAAATTTTATGTTTAATTTGAAATTTAATTTTAAGTTTAAATTCAGTTTTTTTCATTTAAAATTTAATTTCAAGTTAAATTTGAAATTTAATTTAAAATTTAATTTCAAGTAAAATTTCAAATTTAATTTTAAATTTAATTTCAAATTTAATTTTAAATTTAATTTCACTTTTAATTTTATAGTGAAATAATCTTTTATATTTTCGGTCACGTATTTTTTATTTTACATATACAAATTATATTTAGAAAATGATAAATGAAAAAAAAACGTGTAAACATTAAAAAAGAATGTTTAACATTTTGCACGATTATGTAATGTTTAAATAATTTCTGATAGTAGAATTATTTCATGCATTTTTTCAGTCAAATTTTGCTGCATTTTTAGAATAATAAATTAAATTTCATTTTTCATTTTATTTAAAATACAGGGGAAAAAATTATTTGGTAATAATTGATTTCTTTAATTTAATTTAATTTAATTCAACTTAACTTTATTTAAAATACAGTGGAAAAAATTATTTCCCACCAAATAATCGACTTAAATATAACAATAATAGTATTAAATAAATTTACTTGGGGGAAATATAATTTTTATTTAAATCAACTAAACTAAATTATTGGAACAAATAATTTTTCTAGTAAATACTGTTTTATTTGTTAAAAGAAAAAATAATTTTACACAAAAAATTATATTTACTTGATTAAATTAAATTATTATCACAGTTTTTCTAAGGATATCAAATTGAGACAAAAAACTTTTGTTTTTTTTTTTGTCAAAAAACAAAAGTTTTTTGTCTCAATTTTGATATCCTTAGAAAAAACTTTTGTTTTTTGTCAAAAACAAAAGTTTCTTGTCTCAATTTGATATTCTTAGAAAAACTAATATTGAATAATAAATAATAATAAATAAATAAATAGAAAATAAATATTTATTTAACATTAGTCGGGTAAAGAATTTTTTTTTAATCAAATTTTTTTTTTCTGTGCAAAAATGCAATTAGTCATTTACTTTTTTTTTATATAAACCGTGTCAAAGTCACAATTTTATTTTGTGAAAATAGATTGAAAACTTTAATTTTATTTCATCCGGAGTTTTTTCTTTCCAACTATAATAATTTATATCTACTTCCTTCTAAACAATAACTTTAATCGTCTGCCGATAACTTGGCGCAGAAATATTTTTTTCTATTGTTTCATGATTGAAATTCACACGAGAATGAGGTAGGTAAACCTACAAGTACCACTTTCACAAAAAAATTTTTTTTTTATACCAGAATTAAGAACTAATTTAGTGCTAATTTAGTACCATATTTAAAAATTTAGAGCTGCTAAACTTTTTAAAAAAACGTATGGTACTGCCAGCTTGACGTATAGCTACAAGTACCATACCCTAAAAAATAACAATTTTTAAAAAACTTTTCCACAGGAATTTAGAACTAATTTAGTGCTCTAACATAGCATTAAAAAGAATTTTCCAAAAACTACCCTTAATCTCAAAAACTACCTAACGAAAAAAAAATATTTTTTCAAAATTTTTTTCACAGAAATTTAGAACTAATTTAGTGCTCTCACATAGAATTAAAAGGATTATTTTATAAAAACTACCCTTAACCTCAAAAACTACCTAATAAAAATTAAGAAACAAATTTTAAAAAAAAATTTTTCGATAGAATTTTAAAGCTAATAAAGTTTTCAAACTTAGTACTGAAAGATGTTTTCCAAAAACTAATTTTAACCTGAGCTAATTTAGTGCTCAAACAATGCACAAGAAAAATTTTCCACAAAACTACCTTTTACCTCAAAAACTACAAGAAAACAAAGACATAATTATTTCTTAAAAATTTTTTCAGAGCAATTTAGAGATAATTTTGTGCTCAAGAATAGAAATTAAAAGTAATTCACAAAAACTACCTTTTACCTCAAAAACTATCTACAGGAATTTAAAAGGCACATATTTCCAAAATTCTATTCATAGGATTTTAGAACCAATTTAGTGCTCTAACATAGCATTAAAAAGAATTTTCCAAAAACTACCCTTAATCTCAAAACTACCTAACGAAAAAAAAATATTTTTTCAAAATTTTTTTCACAGAAATTTAGAACTAATTTAGTGCTCCCACATAGAATTAAAAGGAGTATTTTACAAAAACTACCCTTAACCTCAAAAACTACCTAGCAAACATAAAAATGTATATTTTTTCAAAACTTTTTTCAATTGAATTTAGAGCTAATTTAGTGCTCTAACAGAGCATTAAAAAGAATTTTCTAAAAAATACTCCTAACCTAAAAAAGTAGACAAAGGAAATAAAAAGGCATTTTTTAAAATTCTTTTTTCACAACAATTTAGAACTAATTAAGTGCTAATTTACTACCATATATAAAAATTTAGAGCTGTTAAACTTCTTAAGGAAATGTATAGTACTACATATGCTTGACGTATAGCTCCAAGTACCATACCCTAAAAAATAACAATTTTTAAAAAACTTTTCCACAGGAATTTAGAACTAATTTAGTGCTTATCTAGCACGATATATAAAAAATTAGAGCTGTTAAATTTTTTAAGAAAACGTATGGTACTACATATGCTTGACGTATAGCTACAAGTACCATACCTTAAAAAATAACAATTTTTAAAAAACTTTTCCACAGGAATTTAGAACTAATTTAGTGCTAATTTAGTACCATATATAAAAATTTAGAGCTGTTAAACTTCTTAAGGAAACGTATGGTACTACATATGCTTGACGTATAGCTACAAGTACCATACCCTAAAAAATATGAATTTTTAAAAAACTTTTTCACAGGATTTTAGAACTAATTTAGTGCTAATTTAGTACCATATATAAAAATTTAGAGCTGTTAAACTTCTTAAGGGAACGTATGGTACTACATATGCTTGACGTATAGCTACAAGTACCATACCTTAAAAAATAACAATTTTTAAAAAACTTTTCCACAGGAATTTAGAACTAATTTAGTGCTAATTTAGTACCATATATAAAAATTTAGAGCTGTTAAACATCTTAAGAAAATGTATGGTACTACAGGCTTGACGTATATAGCTATAAGTTCCTTATGAAACTGAAGTTACCAACGTTTGTTCGACGAAAAATATAATACGTAACAATTTCCCCGCCTCAGATTCAATTTTTTTCCACATTTATTATAGATACTAATATTAGAAGCCATTAGAAATTATTTTCAAGTGGAACCAGGTCGGGGAGGGCAACGATTTTGATCTTTTGTTATGGATTTTCCGAAAAATCCGCGACAAAAATCAAAATCATTGCCTTCGAAATTTCTGAATTTTCGAAAAATCTGTGACAAAAAAAAGTCAAAATCGTTGCCCTCCCCGACCTGGTTCCACTTGAAAATAATTTCTAATGGCTTCTAACATTAGTATTTATAATAAAAGTGAAAAAAATTGGATCTGAGGCGGGGAAATAGAAATTGTTACGTATTATATTTTTCGTCGAGCAAAAGTTGGTAACTTCAGTTTCATAGTTCCTTACACTAAAAAGTAAGAATTTTTAAAAATCTTTTTCACCGGAATTGAGAATTAATTTAGTGCTCTCACATAGCATTAAGAAGAATTTTCCAAAAACTATCATCAACCTCAAAAACTACCTACCTACAGAAAATAAAAAGGCAAAATTTTTAAAAAAAATTTCTTAGGAATTTATAGCTAATTTAGTGCTCTAGAATGGCATTTAATAGATTTTTCCAAAAAGCTGCATTTAATCTCAAACCTATAAAAATTGTACTACATTTTAGTCTAAAAGAACTCATGTATTAGTGAGAGTCTACTAACTTTATTGTAAAATACCTAGGGGAGAGGTACGCACGTTGAGACGGGTTCTGTTTTTCAGTTATAATTTTTAAAAAACAAAATTTAGCGAAAAATTCGAAATGCTTTCTTAAAAGTATTGTCCAGGGCTACAACATTACCAAAGAAAGTTATTTTTTTTGGACAAAATTGAAAAATTTATAGCTGATTTTTTAAACATGTTATTTTTGACCAAAAAAAAATTGGTACGCACGTTGAGACACCCATAATAATTTATTTTAAATTGAAACAAAATGAATAATTACGTCAGATTCTAATTGTTTGTTGTTTATTTACTTATTTTGATGGTCTTAACACAAAGAAAAAAAATTAAAACATTAAAAATTAACTTAAAAAAATAATTAAAAAATAAAATTTTATTTTGCACAAAAATAATTAATCGAAATTTTTATATTCGCAATTTTTACAGGTGAAGAACATGTAAAACGCTTAAAAATTGTGGATTCAAAATCAATTTTAATGACAGTACTATTTTCAAACCGTGAGCGTTTTAACCTGCGTACCACAGTGTGTCTCAACGTGCAGACCTTGCTGTTATTTTTTTAAAGCTTTGAAATTATTTGTAGATGTTAACGTATGTCTAAATTTTCGTCGGAACTTTAAAGTAGAACCAAAATTGATATGTAAATGTTATCCGCAATTTTTTCTGCCACTAAAAAGTACATGGTAAATACACTAAACAGAAATTCTGAAAAACACTTTTTTTAACTAAAAAATTGGTTCGCTCTAGTTCTACCAAAAAAAACAGGAGTTATTGCGCTTTTTTTAATTAAAAAGTTTGGTATTAATGATACGACAAAATGCCAATAGAATTTTTGGTATTATCAGTTACACAGGTTATAATATCTTAGTGTCTCAACGCGCGTACCTCTCCCCTACTAATTAAATGTAACTCTTTGCATACGTATAATTGGTTTTCTTCTATAAAATTACTAAGTTTCTAGTGTTAATTGAGTAGGTTTATACTAGAAATTAGCAAATTGTTTTATTGAATTTAGTTCTATTGAATTTA